CCTGTGCCAGGCGCCGAGCCAGGTGCCAGGAACTCAGGTGAAGGACACTGCTTCGTCCTCCCCGTCTGGCGGGTGAGAAATGAGATGACATGTGACAGATGGCACAGAGAGGCGTGAGGCTAATGGGAGTAGAAGGCTGAGAGCCTGGGGGACATCGGGAAAGAGTGGGCAGGGAGCCCCTGGACCAGAGCCCCTGAGGAAGCGGGGTCGTTGCAGGTGCGCAGCAGAGGCCCGAGCATTTCGGGTCGAGGGGGTGTGAGCTCGGCCCTCATGTGCAGGAAGCTGTGTGTGGGGGGGTGGGCACTTGGCGTGGTAGAGGGGTGTTCGCAGGGATCCGAAGCTCCGGCCACGGGGCCTGGGTGCCCTGCTCAGGGCTGCTGACTTCTGCCCTGGGGGCACTGAGGGTCTCTGGGGAAAAGGGAAAGTCAGGTTTGTCTTTGGGGAAAGTTGTTCTCTTAACCCTTGGGGGGCAGAGTAAGTGGGTATGGAGGAACGGTGGGGGAAGGGAAGGCTATTGGGATGCAGATGCAGAATAGTGAGGACTTGGAAGTAAGGCGGTGGCAGGGACCCCACAGCGTGGCAGATGAGAGACCCCCCCCAAGATGACCTGTGGGCCTGAGCAGCAGGGAGAGCTGGGACCTGACCTTAGGGCAGAGACAGGCAGCTGGTTGTGTTGGTAGGGGTCCCAGAGGCAGGGCCTGTGCCCGAGGGAGGGCCTGTCCCAGCATTTGTTTGCAAGCACAGGCATTCCTTGACAAACGCATAAGGTTTGTTTTTGGAGAAAAAAGAGGTGAGCGCAACCTAAAAGCTGCCACACGCGAAGCAATTTTCTTCATGAGAAATTCTGGTAAAGCGGGTCAGGACCAGCCACATTGGGACACAGTGCAGTGTCTGTTCTCCTGGGTACATAGGTTCCTATAATTCTGTGCCCATGTCTGCATCGGCTGGAGGGTCAAGTTGGGCTGAGGAGAAACCGCCTCCGTGGCGGGGGGACGGGTCACCCTTGTTGGACAGATGGCTTCCCCAGCGGCACTAGAAGGATCGTCACACACAGGCTCCGCGAGGCTGTGTTCTTCCTTCTCAGAGACACTGGGCAGGCCCACCTCCTGTAGTCGATCTCGGTCGCACCCAAACCGCAGAAGCATATGTCAGCGTGGACGAGCACCAGCCCGGGCTGGGGGACAGCGCGTCCTGTGCGTGGAGGCCTGTGCTCCAGGGACCAGCTGTCACCCTGCCTTGTCCAGTGCCCTGTGGCTCATGTGGCTTTGGCTGCTCCAGACAGCGGTGCCTGTGTGACAGGAAGTGCACCGTGTCTGTCCCAGGCTGTGAGACAGCAACTGTTGCTTGTGGTGGCCCGTGTTATGTTAGGAAGACGCCACGTTCCTGGGCTGTGTCAGACAGGAAGTGGCACGTGGCGTCTCTCGTGCACCTGAGGTCCAGCTCACTCCTAAACGAAGAAGGGTCATTTCCTTAGGAAATCGACCCCAAATCTGAGTAAGGAGCAACCCGAGTGCTCCCAGAGGACCGCGCCATGCGGACAGCTGGGGTGTAACGCGCAGCTCTGTCACTGCAGGATCCTGTCCACGGCTGGGAAGTACCTGTCCGACTCCTACAGCCCTCGGAGCCTGGCCGGCATCCAGGACAGCATCTTGACAGATAAGAAGCCCTCCGCCAAGAACCCATGGCAAGAACACAACTACCTCCAGAAAGACAACCCCGCCGAGTACGCCAGCCTGATGGAAATCCTCTACACCCTCAAGGTATGTGGCCAGGCTGGTGGCGTTTGTGTCACCCTCTTTCCCCACCCAGGCTTCCTGATGTCTGCGTGGGCCCTGGGCCATGTCGTATCCTGCTGCCACTTCTCCGACTCATCTCTGTCACGGTTTGAAGGCGCCGACGACCTAACCTGGGTCGGAATGGTAGTGTAGGAGGCGGGTAACGGAGCTTTACGACTCAGAGGAGGCAGGCTGGACAACGTGGCTTTCGATCTGCGGCCACCTGTGCTGCCTGTCCTTCCCCCAGAGTCGGTCCTGTCAGCAGCCCCGGCCTCCATGCGAGAACAGTCCCCTTTTACTGAGTGGAGAGTACTGGTGCTGGTGGGCAGAGCCGGAAAGGGGGACCCAGCCCAGTGGTCGGGGAGCTGTGCCTCGTCCCTGGGGGAGGACAGAAGCCAGGAGCACCCCCCAGTGCAGGTCCCTCCACATGGGGACATGGGGTCGGATGTCTGCTGGCTCTTCCTTTAGNATAAATACAGACTGACAGTCATTCAGGCTTATCTCTGAGAAGCAAGTGGACTAGTCTCCAGCTGCTTTTTATGTGACCCGAGAGAGAACTTTCCAGTGTCGGGACGTGGCACATGGCAGGCATCTAACAAACATTAAATACTGAATTTTGGCTTTTAAATTTTAGATGCACAGCATTTATAGCCCATTTTCTCAAGGGCAAAGCCCAGAAGCATCCGGGCAGTGTGAAAATGTGAAATGATTTGCGATCGTCCGGTATAGAGCTGTGATTCCTAGCCGCCGGGCCTGTGCCCGAGGACGAGAGGGACTAGCATTTTCGTGAAGCATTTCCTCGAGTGGTAAATGAAGTGCTTTCCCAGAAGCCAGCACAGCACCAGAGGAGAGAATAGTTAGAATGTGTGTGAATGAGGTGGTGTTTGTGCTGTCAATGTTGGCATTCCAGGCACTTGAACTTGAAGTGTTCTTTGTTTTGTTTAGGATAATAGCCACCTGTGGAGAGCTCCTGAGGCAGTGTGGGGACTTCGAGCAGCAGCTGGCCAGCAGGTAGGAGGCGAGGGGGGTGCGTCTGGGCCAGACCCCGGTTGCGGTCGGGAAGGGCTTGACCCAGCACAGCAGCGACAGCATATGGTCAAAGCTGAGGCCACAGGGTTCAGGGGCCACCTGTACCTGGATGCGAGGTGTCATTATCGTCATCATTAAACATTTACTGAACACCTAAAAAGGGCAAGGCTCCGACCTGCTTGGCAGTGGTCACATAATTTTGATGAAATACGGACGTTTCAGCCTAAACGAGGAAATGGTGCATGCCGCCTCCAGATGATGAATGGCCTGGGTCCCACTGCTTGTTTGTAAGTCCATTATTGGGACTCAAAATAAATTTTCCTGTAAGCATGTGTCTGTAAGCAGTGGTGAGGCCCCTGGGCCACCCGCAGAACCAGGATTAGCCCAGCCAGCCGGCCGGCTGGGTCCTGCAGCGGGATTCCGTGCTGCCCAGGGATGCGTGTCACTGGAGGGCTCCTGGGGTCGCCGAGGAAAAGTCCCTCTGCCCCCCTTTCTGTCCTGGCACCTGCCAGGCCTTCGCAGGGCCCCACATGCCCCGGTCAGGCCCTGTTTGCCGTCACGCGCTCCAGCCGTCACGGCCCCTTCCCTGCTTTCCTGTCATTCCCTCGGTACCGCCAAGGGCTCCACTCGCGAGTCCAGGGAGAAGCGTGGTCCGTAGAGCTGTGACGGCCCCGCAGCCCCTCCGTCTCGCTCTTTGAGTTGTCGTCCCGAGGTGGCCTCTGGGAGCCTTGCTGGCAGCGGGCCGGGCGGAGTGAAAGGAGAGTGCGAGGCTGGCAGGCTGCTCAGGACGGAGGTTGGACTGGCCTCGGGTCAGGGCTGAGTGGCTCTGCCTTCCTCTCCCACACGTGTCTTTCCTTTCTGGGCCCATGGATTGTCTTCAAGTCCCGGGCGTTCTCACGATGGTTCTCACAGCGGGGGTGTCGCTGTTCATACCTCAGAGCTCCTGCACGGCCC